ATCGATGACCAGGCGGCGCCTCTTAAGGTGCCATAGGCAAACACACTCAGCACCTGCGAGCTGGAGCTGGAAAATCCCCAGTAATTTACCCATGAATAGCATGGTGATTTTCAATAGTCATGTTGGTTTACCAGAGGGTACCCTTTGGTAAACTAACATAACTATGGAAAATCACCATTTTCAATGGGTAAATCGACTATTTCTACGGTCATTTTCAATAGCTATGTTAAATTACCAGGGGGTATACCAAATGGTCATAAAAATCTAGAATAAAACCGTCCTGCAAAACTTACCCAAAACATCCATGTAAGATGGGCATGGCTGTGGACTTGCGGCACAAAAAAAACGATGCCAACTATGAAGAAATATGCTGACATTCCATTGGGTCCATAGTTTACATATTTTACAATTTCTATAAATGTCACCATTTACAGCTGGTTCTTACTTATCTGATTTTCTTGTTGCACAGAAAATCTGATAGTCGATCCAAAATCAAACCGGCATATATCCATCATGGTAAGTAACCAATATTTGATCAATTATTCCATCTAAATCCAATCTATATTGTTTATCTAAATCCTTTACAAGGACTAATCAACCAGCATACCCTCCGGTCATTTAACAGTTCGCTATTGAAAAAAAGGCATGTGTAGCTGATTTACCTACTCAAACTAATGATTTTCTATAGTAAGTTAACAGTTTGCTATTGAAAATGACCATTTGTAGTTGATTTACCCATTAAAAATTGTGATTTTCCATAGTTCTGTTAACTTACCAAAGGGTACATCCCCTCAGTTACGGCTCCTCCAGTGATGTTTCCACCGCTGGGTCATCGTCAAAGGCCGCCAGTTGTCCCAGCACGTTCTGGCGAGTCAGGATGGGTTCCGGAAGGTAGTGATGCCCTCCCACATGGACAACATAGATGAACTCATGGAATCTTAGTTGAATCAACTGTGACATTCTAACTGTAGAACTAACAGTTGATTCAACTAAGAACATAGATTCATGGTGATTCATATTAGTTGATTCACGGTGATTCTAACTGTAGAACAGTTCGACATAGATCCATCAAACATGTTTTTGACATGTATAACTGTAAAACATTGCAAAACCTATAAATTTGATCTTAATTATAGATATCCATCATAAACACTGACAAACCTAGTTGCAGAAGCACGTCTCTCGAAACGAATTGTGGGTAACCAGTTGGGGCCATGGCTGCTACTGCGATGCTTGATTTGCTATGGTTTCCCGAAGTATCTGCAATAGATTCTCAAAATTCCGGAGAAATTGCATCCTTTGGGGATGATAATGATGATGTAATAAAAACCAAACCGGAGAGCTCTCTATGTGTCTATATTTTGTACATCATCAACCGGAAATCTTGAAACTGCGGGGGATATGTCAACCATTGCGCCTCTCTCAATCGCACTGGTAAGTCATCCACATGCTTCGAAAGGTGCTCCTCGCAGGCCCCCGGCATAGATAGCTAAGTTAGTTTACAACTAGGCCAGCTATGGTTTATGATAGATGTATCTTAGTCTAGAGTCAATGGAGTTTATAAAACAACTTATAAATAGGGAACACCATCTTGTAGTGTCACTAAATTTCATACTGAGTCGCTCATCTTCAAGTTTGACCCCCGGACAAGGAATTGCAAACATGGATTGGGATCGATTCACTTCATGTTTCCAACACATACAGTACAAAACCTAAACCTTAAAGCAAATGTATACTTTTCTTGTGGCAATTGTCGTGTTAATCTTGACCTATCAATTTCCAAACGCATCAACCTCAGCCAATCCCAAGCCTGTTTGATGAAAGGGTTGCACAGCACTTCTGTCACATCCTGCCCGGGACGCCAGCGGTTTGGACCGAAGGGCCTGATTGTACGCGCACAATTGCACGCCTACCAAAAAGCAGGCAGGTAACCATGATGTTCTTGGAGTTGTGAGGATCATCAAGTTCATCAAACTACACTAACCTATGATTTTCTGTTGTAGATGAAGTATCATCACGTATATTATATTTATACATGTAGTCATCCTAGTTGGTGGTTTCAACCCCCTGAGCAATATGACACGCATCATGACATTGCGGATCATGATCAAATTGTTTCTTGAAAGCGCCAACTTTGCCGCTAACGAAGGTAAATAATGTGCGCCGGCGATTTGACCTGGGCTGTGCTTTGGTTTGTGCCTTTGTGCCTTTGGTTTTCTGGGACTGTTTTCTGGTATTTTCCCAGCCTCATGATCAGAAGCTTCCCACACTTGGGAACCTCATGTTTGCACCTAACTCGCTCCCAGAGAAAAAGAGAGGAGACCTCAACCACCTTTTGGTCCATCAGTGGATTCTGCCATCCGTGATTCACAACAACCAACCTCTCCTATAGGTTTCCTATTTTTGAAACTTCCGCCACCGCCTTGTGCGGTACTACTTTTTTGCCTCTGTTTTTTGGGCATGTTTTGCTGGTATTTTCCTAGTTTCATGACCAGAAGCTTCCCAAACTTGGGAACATCATGTTTCCACCTAGCTCGCTCTCAGGACCTGAGCACTATATTGCAAAAAAATATCAGAAACCCCATTTATGTTTTCCGGAAAAATGTGTTTGAACAAAATTTTCGATGTTCATTTCTATAAATTTTGAAATTTGGATTTACAAATTTCTCATGTTCTTCATTTTTTGAAACTGGTCAACCATAGCTGTCAACAAACAATTTGGACAAACCAAATCTATGAAAAAACACGATAAACATGGTAGTTTCCTGATGCAATGATGATTATTTACAGCCAACCCAGGTAATCAAGGTATGCTATCTAATCTGGAGGTTTGATCTTCAGACATCATGCGCTGGGCAGGGGAGGGGGGGCAGGGCGGACCATCAAATCACTATGTTTTTTTTAGGGGCGTTCTTTTTCAGGTGCTGTAAAAGCGCCTTAAAGTGCTGTGAAAGCGCTACAACATGGTGCTGTGAAAGCGCCTACAGGCATGGTGCTGTGAAAGCGCCTACAGGTGCTGGAAAAGCGCCGTTACTGATGGTGGGTGCTGTGAAAGCGCCTACAGGCCTGCAGGTGCTGCAAAAGCGCCTACTGACTGATGGTGCTGTGAAAGCGCCTACAGGCCTACAGGTGCTGTAAAAGCGCCTACAAGCCTACAGGTGCTGTAAAAGCGCCGGAAACTGGTGCTGAGAAAGCGCCAGATGCTGCACAGGGGCCGGGAACCTTAGACTATGGCCACGTGGCTGGAAAAGGTTCATGGTGGCAGGCACTGTCACTGTGGGGCAGGGGTCACTGTGGGGCAGGGGCAGGATCTTTCAATGAACTACCAATTCTATTATTTTAAGAAAATATGTCATCACGATCATACCTGAAGACTGCACTGACTTAGATCCAATGTACCTAGCAGTAGATCTATCCGTAAGTAAGGGGCGCTTGTTCAGCACCAGAATGCATGACTGTGTGGTTGTACAGGTTGTTATGATGATGTCACCTGGAAAAATATGATAGGGGCGCTTGTTCAGCACCAGAATGCATGTAGACTGTGTGGTTGTGCAGGTTATTGTTGTGATGATGTTGATGATGTCACCTGGAAAAATATGATAGGGGCGCTTGTTCAGCACCAGAATGCATGACAACTGTGTGGTTGTACAGGTTATTGTTGTGATGTCACCTGGAGAAATATGATATATAGGGGCGCTTGTTCAGCACCAGAATGCATGACTGTGACTGTGTGGTTGTACAGGTAGTTATGATGATGTCGCCTGAAAAAAAATATGGTAGGGCCTCCCAGTTTTTGGTTTGGTTTATCCATCATCGTTCTGATCGTTCTTTCTGTTTGCAATATGCTACTGTGACCCAAAGTTCAATCAGCCTGAGCAAAACGATGCTGAATAAGCGTCCCAACTCTTCACAACAGAACATGTTTCTCGAAGATACTGTTGCTGGTAACAACACAACATCATGGTTTCCCCGGAGACTAGATGATGAAAAACCCTGAGAAATACAGTGTTTTTGTGAGACTAGATGATGAAAAACCCTGAGAAATACAGTGTTTTTGTGAGACTAGATGATGAAAAAACCTGAGAAATACAGTGTTTTTTGGGCCCCATGCATGAAAACACTGGAAAAACTGGGGAAAAACGGCCCTGTTTAATGGAGACTCTGCCAGCCGCCTTTTAACCCAGTAGGCGGCTCGGCCAAGAAAAACATTATTTTCCAAATCGTTACGGCACTGTTTTTTTGCCAGTAGCAAGTTGGCCATGGATAAATATCACAGTCAAAGTACCTATTAGTTTTGAAACCTAAACCAAGGGTCGCACCATTGCAGGCGGCCATGAGACCTGGGCGATCGTGGCAATGCATGAAGGACAGGTCTGAAGGGGCGCAGGGGCAGTGAAGCGCTTTTCCAGCACTGTGGAATCCCTGAAAATGATTTAGCTACTGAAGCGCTTTTTCAGCACTGTGGAATCCCTGAAAATGATTTAGCTACTGAAGCGCTTTTTCAGCACTGTGGAATCCCTGAAAATGATTTAGCTACTGAAGCGCTTTTTCAGCACTGTGGAATCCCTGAAAATGATCTCTGCTGCACCATTTGTTTTTTTTCTTCTGCTGCTCTCCTGTCAGATGGTGTCGTGTGTGGCAACCATCATTCCCACAGCTGACCACCCGCTGCGCATTCATACACATACATGACTTTCGGGGATTGTTAGGTGGCCACTTGCCTTATGCAGTTATAAGTTATAGAGAGTATCAAATCAACCAAATTATCTGGGGCCCCCTAATGAAATTTCCTTGTAGCCAGCCGAGGTGACACAAAAGAATTGGGAAACCATTGAAGGCCACTCCGACACAAAAATAACATCTGCCATGTCAACATGAGATTTTTGATTACTCACAGAGATTTGTTTGACGTCACAGAGATTTGTTTAACGTTACATGTCTGCCATGTCAAGACCTTCGTCTCCAATGGTCTCCAAAGGGCGGACTGCTTCTGTGCATCTTCAGCTAGTCCTTGCCCTCTTGTCACGAGGATCCTCATTGGGGCCCTCCGAGCGCTTAGACTTCTTAGACTTCTCCTTCTTCTCCTTGGGGCTCTTCTCTTTCTTCTCCTTGAGGCGCTGTTTTTTTTCTTTCTTCTCCTTGTTGCCCTTCGCTTTCTTCTCCTTGAGGCCCTCCGTCTTCTCTTTGTCGTGCTCCTTCTCTTTGTCATCCATCTGATCCATCGGCCAGTCGTGCTCCTTCTCTTTGTCCTCCATCTGATCCATCGGCCGGTCGTGCTCCTTCTCCTTGTCCTCCATCTGATCCATCGGCCGGTCGTGCTCCTTCTCTTTGTCCTCCATCTGATCCATCGGCCGGTCGTGCTTCTCCTTGTCGTCCATCTGATCCATCGGCCGGTCGTCGTGCTTCTCCTTCTGATCCATCGGCCTTTTGTTTTTTGGCTGCGGCAGTGGCCTCGGCGTCCTCTGCTTCATCTGGACCATCGTGTTGACTTGCTTCTGCAGGTCCAGCAGGTCTGTCGGGTTCATCTCAGCCAGCAGCGTAGTTGTGCTTTTGCACTGGGCGCCCTGACAGGCAGGGGTATCAAAAGAACACAAAGATCTGGCGCGAAAAGTCCAAAAAGATCACAAAGATCTGGCGCGAAAAGACAAATTACCCTACAAAAAGATCACAACAAAAACCCTCACCTACTTTTCTCAAATTTTGTCAACACGGGCCAGGCCTCCACCTCCTTCGCCAGCTGGCTGTAAGCCTTCAAGGCCATTTTGTGCATATCGGATAGGCGTGCCACCTGCTGGGTCTTCGACTCGAGGTCTCTTTCGGACACCACGGCCCTTTTATGGAGGTCCTTGAGGGACTCCAGGTGCCTCTCGCTCTTCTCGCAGCTGTCTTTGTGGAGCTTGTCCTTTTGAGCCGTCACCTTTGCAAGCTCACGGCTGGTTTCATCGCGTTGCCATTGAGCCTCTCGAAGTCGGTCCTGGCAAGTTGGCGCTTGTTCAGCAACCCTTTTAAAAAAGAACTCCGCTTTTTCAGCATCCCTTTGATGTTGGCCCGGCGCTTGTTCAGCACCCCTTACAAACAAAAAAAAGTTCTTTTCTCAGTACCATCCAAAGAACAACTTGTATATTCTCGATATCAAAAGGCACTTGTCCAGCACCTGAATGTTTATTTAGATACTAGTGCCAAATTGAAAATCGGCCCGAGGTCCTCCGTCGACTGGCTCTGCTTTTTCAGCTGCTGCACGTCCACAGCCTGCTGCGCCTGCTGGGAACGGTGCCATTGCAGCTGCGAGCGGCACTCCTGTAGATCCTTCATGAGCTCTTGTGTCTTTTGCACCAGCGGGCCCAGCTCCACAGTCTTTTTTTGCTGGTCCGCCAGTTTTTTTTGGAGGTCCTGGATGATGGCGTCCTTGGCCTGGCAGTTGGCTGTGACGCCCGCCAGCTTTTTTTCTAAGTCCTGGATGACGTCGTCCTTGGATTCCTTGGCCTGGTTGGCTGTGAGGTCCGCCAGTTTTTTTTCCAGGTCATGGATGACCCCGTCCTTGGCCTCGCAGTCGGCTCTGAGCCTGTCGCGCTCATTTTGGCGGTTGGCCACGCGATTTGCCCTGCTGTTGTTGTGCTTCGTCACCGACAAGCCTGAGCCACCATCTGACCCAGGCCCCTGCCAGGGCAGCCAGCGCCACCGCCCATCGTCATCGGCGCCCCACTCCCACGCCTCCATCGCGGAGGGAGCTTGGGCCACACATGACAAAATGAACTGAAGGCACTTTTCCAGCACCAGAATTTCATACTCGATGAGCACAAAACATTAACATGATTCACAGTGTAGCCCTTGGAGTTTAAAGATTCCCCTTTATACAACCAGTTTACACACATCAACATTGTGGTGTAACTTGAATGGAATTGAAATGAATTGAACTTACACACGGCTGCCATTGCAAAACCGGGCCCCAGGACTGACTCGTGGACACATCGGCATCAACGGAGGACCTGAAAGCATGGCTGGGGAGGTGATGGACATGCAACAAATTAACGGTGCTGAAGAAGCGCCGAACTAACTACATACTTTAGAATTTCGAATGAAAATTATTTGGCACTTGTTCAGTACCAGGCACTTTCCAGCACCTCTCATGAAAGCCACCTTGACATGACTGCTCAGTATACTTGCTCAGAACCAGGCGCTTCCTCAGAACCTGAATTTTACCCGAATGTTTGTTCAGCACATGTCGGAACCATCATAATGACAAAGAACTGATGCTTCTTCAACAGTATGAGAATCGCGTTTATACAACCAGTTTACACACATCCACATTGTTTTGTAACTTGAATGGAATTGAAATGAATTGAACTTACACACGGCTGCCATTGCAAAACCGGGCCCCAGGACTGACTCGTGGACACATCGGCATCAACGGAGGACCTGAAAGCATGGCTGGGGAGGTGATGGACATGCAACAAATTAACGGTGCTGAAGAAGCGCCGAACTATTTAATTACATACTTTAGAATTTCGAATGAAAATTATTTGGCACTTGTTCAGTACCAGGCACTTTCCAGCACCTCTCATGAAAGCCACCTTGACATGACTGCTCAGTATACTTGCTCAGAACCAGGCGCTTCCTCAGCACCTGAATTTTGCCCGAATGTTTGTTCAGCACATGTCGAAACCATCATAATGACAAAGAACTGATGCTTCTTCAACCGTAACGAGAATCCCGTTTATACAACCAGTTTACACACATCGACATTGTTTTGTAACTTGAATGGAATTGAACTTACTACGGACTGTTAACGCAAATCTTTCAACAAACATGGCAAAGAAACTGGGCCGCGCTCACGCAATGCAGGGGCAACTGTGGAAGTTGTGGGTGAAGTATTCGAAAACCCACGCAGAAAAAAAGTACTTCATCATTGTGTTTCTCATTGAGGCCCTGTGTGTGCGTGTCTCTCAAGTATGCCGCTTGAAGGCCGAACATGTTGACTTACGCAAGAAGCGCGTGTGGCTGGATCAATTTAAAAAACACAAAGCCATATGGAAACCTATGCTCCCCTCTACTGTGGCCGCCATTACAGAATGGAAGAAGAACGAGAAAGGATCAGGGTTCAAGTGGCCGAAGACTGGCTTACTTTTTCCAGCATCAGGGAGAGGGAAGGGCAAGTCAATCACCAAGGACATAGTGGCACGACACATTCGTAAGCACCGTGCCAAGTTTGTCGAAAACTTTAAGGACAAGTACCCCGATTTACTCAATGGCCAGGCCATACGTAGCCATTCTGGGAGGCGGCATTCTATATCCAAATTTGCCGGAGCTGGAGTATCAGAAGCCTTTGGCATGGCCTGGTCCCAGATTGAATCCCGAACGGTTTATCAAAGCTACGTTGACCTGCAGCCCGAAATGGTTTACCCCACCATAGCCAAATTTGATCGGAAGCTGCAAAGAGTACGGTGATTGAGGCACCCGGCTGCACGGCGGACAAGGCTGAACCTGGCCAAGTCTAATTTAAAGAATTCGAATGCCTTTGCATGTTGAGTCAACAACAGAAAAGGTTGATTGACTGTTTCAAAGTCGCGTTTCACACCTTTTTACTTTGACGATCGCACAGCAAAGATCTCACCGCAAAGGGCACGCTTCAAACAAACTAGACATCACCTTCGCCAAGAGGGTCACAGGGATGGCGTTGCCAATGATCTGGCCCAGCTGGTTGTCCATCAAGACTCCTTTTGGAAAAGACCTTTTAGGTAGGCCTTGCAAAGCCCACATCTCCTTCACCTTCATCTTCCGCTTGAGCCAGGACAGCCAATAGCCTTGGCTACCGCACCTGGAGCGGGTGAGGCACGGGCTGTAGTCGAGGTTGTAGTGGGGTGATGTGCCGCCCACATTCAAAATGTAGTGATCCTTGCTGGGACAGCCACCACGATCCTTAATCTTCTTGTAGGATTCAAACAAGTTGCCCAGCTCCGTTCGGTTGAGATTCCGGAGGTTTGATGAATTTCCCATGTCCTTCATGTCGATGAATGTTTTCAAGGGCTGCATCTGCACCTCATTCCAGCACGCTTACATTGAATTTTATATACATTTCATCATGCGCAGTTTCCCCTCACAAAGCAAAACATTTCGAGGTTAAAAAGTTGTTCTATTTGACAGCCACAGTGCACTTGTTCAGTACCAGGGAACTTGTCCAGACCCTCTCATAAAAGCCCTCTTGACATGACTGCTCAGTATACCTGGTCAGTATTAAGGCACTTCCTCAGCACCTGTACGATGATGTTTTGGTCAGCATGCTTCATTTTTTTTATCAGAGAGCAATTTCCCCTCACAAAAAAAAAACTTTCGAAGTTCAAAAATTGTTACATTTTGACAGCCACATTTTGACAGCCACGGGGCAGCAACTGGCCAGACAAACTCCGCAATCTTGAATTCATTCATTAGGCCCACCACTAAGACCCGCTCCCGGTTCTGTGGCAAACCAAAGTTTTTGGCATTCAGGCATGCCCAAAGGACAGTGTACACTGGGCGACCCATGATCTTCAAACCACGTAGGTACTTCATGATCTCGAAAAGGGTTTCAGGGTGTTGGTTTACCAGACCCTTGACGTTCTCCAGTACAAAGGTTCGAGGTGTCTTCTTGGATATGTACTCCAGCAGCTTGTAGATGACAGTACCGTTCGATGGGTCAGCCGTTCCCAAGTGACAACCCTGAACCGAAAAGGGCTGGCACGGGAATCCCGCCAGAAAAAAATCTACTGTTGGAGCATTTTTGACAAAGTTCACGTCGAAGACGTTGTCAAAGTACATGTCATGGCTCCAAAGATGATGACACAAGGTTGTGGCATGCCGGTCGCAATCACAGGCGAAGACCGGCCGCACTTCCAAGCCCATCAAGCTCGCTGCGAAAAGTTCTGAACAAAGGCCAGGGCATGCCGACCCAAAAGTCAAAGGATCCGACCTGTGGCGCTTGACCATCTTGAGCCATAACTCATAAAGCTCCCCTTATAATTAGCATGTAGTGTTGCAAAAGCGCTTCTTCAGCACTGTGATCACAGCAATCGATTTGCACGGGTTCGTTCGATCAGTTCCCTATAATTATAATGATATTTAATTACATCTAGTGCTGCAAAAGCGCTTCTTCAGCACTGTGATCACAGCAATGGATTTGCACGGGTTCGTTCGATCAGTTCCCTATAATTATAATGATATTTAATTACATCTAGTGCTGCAAAAGCGCTTCTTCAGCACTGTGATCACAGCAATGGATTTGCACGGGTTCGTTCGATCAGTTCCCTATAATTATAATGATATTTAATTACATCTAGTGCTGCAAAAGCGCTTCTTCAGCACTGTGATCACAGCAATGGATTTGCACGGGTTCGTTCGATCAGTTCCCTATAATTATAATGATATTTAATTACATCCAGTGCTGCAAAAGCGCTTCTTGAGCACTGTCATCACAATAATATCAGTTTCCTTCACAGAGAGCATGGACATGCATCATTATGCAAAGTGTTCAGCACCATGATTGTCACTCAATGACTCTGGACCTGCAAATGATGCTTTCACTGATTCTTCAGCAACGCATTTTTGACAGAACTTCCACGTAAATGTGGCTGTCAGGCGATTGGGATTGCTCCATGTCGAGATGGCCAGCCCCGTCAACTGCTGAGATGTAACAACGTACTGTCAGCTAAAATTATTAGCGATGCTGCTAGTTGTCTGTTGGCAGTTAAGAATGGACTGGAGTAAGATGAGTTTGGTTTGTTGACTCGGCATCCATGCTCACTCTGGAAGTTGAACTCGCTAGGAGTCAGTCTGAGATCCAAAAATGATTCACGGTGCTGCATAAGCGCCCGGCATTGTTCCGTGCCATTTTTTGATGTTCAGAGGGTCCATTGATAACTCGTCTATAGTGCTACATGGTGCTGCAAAAGCGCTTCAGCAACACATAGATATCTAAGCCTAAGAGCAAGCAAGCCCTCACTGGTCAATCACTCTTCCACGTCCTGGTCATCCTCATTGTCGTCATCCTGCATGCTGACCAGAGCTTCAAGAATTGCATCCTTCTGAGTCTGGTCCTTCTTTGGCTTCTTGTCGGCATCCTCAGCAGCATCGCCCGTGACCTTTTCTTGTTTCCTTTTCTTCTCGACTCCACCCCGACCTCGCCCGCGACCACGGCCCCGTCCACCGCCACTCGGTTGCGTAGTACCGGCGGGCTCTGTGGTCGCCGCGGCCGCGACCTTGTTCTTGGAAATCTTGGTCATCAGCGTCGACCTAAACCATGAGTTCATCGATGAAAGTGCTTGCACAGCACCATTCATGAAAGCGCTTGCACAGCACCACCTACTTACTTGATAAACTATTCTGTCGTACAACTGTTGAAATTGCAATGTAGTATAAGGGCGGCACTTGCTCAGCACCATAACATAATATGTTAAAACAAAAAGTGTCAAAATATGTCCAAACAACTGCTTTAAAATCCAATGCCAAGCGTCACATTCACCCGATACAGCGGAGAGCTCTGCAACTGGAACTGGTTGAACGTAAACTCAATGAGCCTCGACCGCAAAGCAGCTGCATGCTCAGCAGTGTACACGATGGCCACGCAAGGAATTTTGGATAAGATGGCTGCCATGCATCCGACTCCATCAGGGTCGCAGGTCAGAAAGACCATCCCTGCGCAGAACGAATGCAGGAGTTCACGGAAAAATTTCACAGGCATGGAGTGAAAGGTCATAGGGTCCCCAGCTTTCAAATCTGGCTTCTGCGGAGCATCAGGCAACCCGCCCCCCGCCAGCACTTTTGCCTTCCCTCCCTCATAAAGCTTTTTCTTCTCGGCCGGCAGCAACCATAGGTTTTCCAAAGGGTCAAGGACAACTGGGCCAATGGTTGTTGTCATGTTGCTGCCGCCATAGAGCCGGACGCGTTGGGCAGGCAAAGCCAAAGGACCATTGGTCATGACGTGCATGCCTTCGTGCACCTGCACAAGCCCACGATTCAACTGCTTCCTAGCTTTCATGCTCTTCTCCTCGAAGACGATCACAAACTCAGATCGGGTTTTGTTCTCAAAGTGAACCCCGTCATCTCGGACAAAGCATTGCATGATGCTTGTTGCAATCTGCCTCGAACCATCAAGAACCGCACACAATTCATCACTCTCCAGCTGCTCCTGGTTTCTGACCGCACAAAAAGCTTGGACAGCAGTCTTGAGCACCCAGTTCCTGAACTGCGGATACCGCAAATGCGGCTGGGACGAGCTCTCCCCCAACGTTTTGGTGTCCATCACGATGAGCGCGGTAGTTCCCTCAGGCTGCTTTTTGGCAACCGCTGTTCCCTCAAGGGCTTGCACTAGCTCTGTCTTGCTGGAGGTCTCAGGAATGAATTTGATGAACCGATCGACCAACGCGGTTGCTTCTTGAATTTCATTGACGAAAGCTTGCTCATGTTCCTCAGGGACGCTTTCAACACCTTCGGGTAGAAAGGTGGATAACTCCTCTGCATGAAGGGTGGCTGGCTCAACCTCTTCCTCTGTCTTCTTGGTCTTGTGGGTATAAGACTCCACAACATCATCCAACTGCTTGAGCATCTCAGAGAATGGTTCCTTCCCAAAGAGGTCAGCAGGCGCAGAAGATCCTTTGAGCATGTTTTTCAAGGAGTGGTCGTGGGACGTGGAGAAGACGACTTTCTGACCAGGGTGGGCCAAGTTGCGAAAAAACACCCTCCTAAAGAAAAATCTCATAAAGTATTCCTTTAAAACCTTCTCCGCTCCACAAAGAAAACCGCAGAACCGTCTACAACAGCCCCGCCTTCATGATATCAACAGCCAACCGGACAATTTCATGCTCCGTTCCAAGCCAAGACTGGTCCGGCTGGACATTGTCACGTCCTCCAGCATCCACCCTCGAGCGGAACTCAGCATGTGTCTGAAGGCTCTTCAGCACATCCACCCACTCAGAAGGGATGTTCTTGCCATTGAGATGGTCTGCCAACCAAAGCATCATTCTCCGCTTGGCCAAGAACATGTCCAGCAACCCGCGGTTGTTGGGAGAACCTTGCAGGGTACGGGTTGAAAGATCTCGGTTGGTATATTCCTTCAGGGTGAAGATGTAGTCCGCGATGCAGTTGAGCATCCACAACTGGTCGACCTCCTTGCCCTTCATGCAAATCAGCTCAAGAACACGGATGTAGTTGAGGCAGCTCCCCTGACCAATTTCCATGTCCATCTTTCTGATGCATTTGAAAACCTCTGGATAGCAAAGCATGCGGTCATGGATCTTGATGGCCGAGTCCACGTAGGCAAAGTCCATTTTTTCTATCAAGGCCGTGCCCAACTCCATCACTTTGGCCGTCCAAGCCTCTGCAATCTCCTTGCGTGAGCCCGGTTGAAACTCATCTCTGAATTTCACAAGTTCAAAGATCTGCTGAATGGTGGACCGAGTCAAGGCATCGTAGGTGCTGGCATACCTCTGGCGAAGGTTGGTTGACTTCCAAAAGCAATCTTCATAGCCACAAATGACTTCCACTCGCAGGCTGATGCTGAGCACAACTTGTTTCCAGCGCCTCAGAAACCAAACTGATGTTGCAAATCAAAAACATATTTGCGAAAGCGGCTGAATCGTTACAAACATCGCAGAAGTTCAAGGGGCGTACATCAAAAAAACAAAACATTTATCACATAAAAACAACGAGCTAGATACAGCAACTCTTCATCGGTTTCCCCCATCCGGATCAGATCCGCAATGTACATGATCAAGGAGTGATCCAGCTCTTCAGGCGAAATTCGCTTGAGTTTGCCTTGAACTTGGTCTCGTTGAAATTGTGCAGCGTCCGTCGCAGCATCAACAGCAATGACGATTTCTTCACGTAGCTTCTCCGGGCCAGCCCCCTGAAAGTAGTTGAACTGCAATTCCAAACTTTTTTCTGGAAGCGGAACACTTGGGCTATTCAGGTGCCTGAGGTTGCACCAGAAGAGGTTTCCGGCTGACACATATGTTTTGGCAGTGGCCATTGCAGCATCATGCTCAAAAGGGTCCCAAGGTGCCTTGACAGGGAAAGAACAACAAGGAAACAAAAGGCACAAATAATTTGAAGGCACAAATTTCCAAACATCAAATTTTAAGAGACCCTGTCTGAGAGAGGCACTGCATCTGCAGTGCCTCCCTCAACCATAGGCGCGCGCGCGGGGTTGTTGAGAGACAACCGGCAAAACTGTCCAAGGGTGGTCCAGAGCATACCCGGCATATGCAGTGCCTCTCTCAGACAGGGTCCAAACAGGCCTCTCAACAACCCCGCGCGCGTGCCTATGGTTGAGGGAGGCACTGCAGATGCAGTGCCTCTCTCAGAGGGGTCTCGATGCTGGGAAGCTCATTTTACTCGTATTATTGTGGACCTGGACCTTCAAATTTAAAATCGTGCGCGTGCAACCGTGTATCGTGCGCGCACGGATCGTGCGCGGACGATACACGGTTGCACGCGCACGATTTACGGGCTACACAACCGCGCACGATACAAAGGCACGCGCGCACGAATTACGTGCTACATCGCGCACGATTCAATGGCACGCGCGCACGAATAAGGACACCCAGTGCACAGTCAATCAAGATTGACTAAAAGATCACGACGAAATAAAAAACTCTAAGTATATTATAAGTTACGCTATATATTAAATATCTAGATGGCAATTTAATCTTTTTGGATACCATTGTTTTTTCCAATATAGTCGGCCTCCCATTCTCGGAACCCCGGTTCTGCAACTTGGAAGCATTGCCACGGGTACCCATGCAGCAATGCCCCAAGTTGCGTAGCCAGGTTTGCCCGAGCAGGCACTTTAGCCCATGTGTCCTGCTCTCATACACCACCTGCTTTATTGCTACAGGTGGTGCGTTGGCCCCAAGGCAAGGTTCCAGCCCCACACCCGGCCAACGGTGTGACCTCTTCAAAGGAGGTTCTGGTAGGGCGAGCGAAAGAATTTACCAAATTGTATACTTACTAAGACGAAACGAACTACGATAATGGATGATACTTCGACAGTACTCATCAACGACGAACTGTCGCTGAGGGCTGAATCATAGTGCTGCAAAAGCAGCTTTTCAGCACTTTTTGATAAACAGAACTGCAACTTTCAAGTTACTAGTCCTGCAAAAGCGTTTTTTCAGTACTTTTTGATAAACTGCAATAAGTTATCAAGCGCTTGTTCAGCACTCTGTCCAAACTTGGCGAAGAATAGTTTAATGGGGTTGCTGGGTTAAATTTGAAGCACTTATTCAGCACTGCTGATGCTGGGACATGGTGCTGCAAAAGCGCTTTTTCAGCACTTGTTGACAAACCAGACCCGTAAGTTTTTGAAAGCATTGCAGGCATGTTATCATTGACCATCATCATCCTGGAAAACACATTGGAATAGGAGACACACAATGTTTACAAAACGTGATTTGTATTAAGTCCAAGATTCTCGAACTAATAATCCAAGATTTAAATAAGAGTAAAGCCGCCTGAGTTGTTTTAAATTGTACATCACATTTAGTTCCACAAATCCAGCCTGCATTCCAGCTTCATGCGACTGTGCATCTTTGTCGATCTTGGGCGGACTCTCGTGCATGATGTTCTGAAAGACGTGGTGGCCAGTAACCGTTTGGATAGCATCTTCCAACTTCTGCAGATGCTGGACATTAGCATCCTCCACAACCTGCAAGGGTTTGGCCATCACATTCGGCTCTGCCGCCGGTGCTGGATTCGCGGCCGCCGCTGCCGCCGCCTGAACGGCCGCAGCCGCCGTCTTGGCCTTCGCGGCTGCTTTCTTTGCTCCCTTCGGGGGCATGGCGATCCAGCGATGATAGACGAGTCAGATTCGTCAATGGGTGGAGGGCCAGACTTGCGGGCCAAAACACTGGAACATGATTGCGCTTCCTAAGCGCTGCCGCAACATGTCAACTGCCATGGCAACCGCGCTTATTCAGCACATTGATCACATGGAAGTCTGATTTGGGTTGAAAGTTAGTATACTAATTAAATACTATTAGATTTGTCATCCAACACTGGCATTGTCATTGATTTTTGTGAAAATATGAGCGTTTCAAAACTTACCATTGCGATCAAAGATGTAAGAAATGGCGGCTGCGAGCCTTTGCGCCGCTGGATGCTCCACATCAAGCCCAGCCTTGGCGTTTGGACAAATCTCAACATTGAACTTGACACACTGAAAAAAACAATGTTATCAACTGCGCTTTTTCAGCACAATCAGGGTCGAGCTCTTAGCTTTAAACAATATTATCAACTGCGCTTTTTCAGCACAATCAGGGTCAAGAGTGTATTCATATTATCAACTGCGCTTGTTCAGCACAATCAGGGTCGAGCTCTTTAAACAATATTATCAACTGCGCTTTTTCAGCACAATCAGGGAGCCAACTGCAATTTTACGGTCCTGCAAATGGTCGATGTTGGGACTCGTTCACCCCAATTTCAAGTCCACCACGCAGGGCAGAACCCCTGTGCCCAGCATGGAGCCATCGCATTGCATCATGTCAAATTGTATACACAAGCAACCCAGCGGAGGAATTTTAAAAATCCATCCTGGTTGAAAACATTTTTCCTGCCTTCAAGAGCATTTGCTTCGGCAGATGTGCACAAAGAAATTGTGTTGAAGGTGTTTTTGCCATCCTTCGAACATCTTTCTGCAAACTCTTCCCATGAACTCATTTGTTGCCATTTTGACAACCTAGAACGGGATGCAGCATCGATGAGTCTGCATAATCTTGGGCAATTTTGCCGCATTTTCGGAGAGATCAACACCCGTCTCTGGGTCCTCACTGCTGGGTCATATGCAAAGGTTGCGCCACGGTCCTTGGCATCATTGGGCATACCGTTGGCTTGGTATCGAAGGTGGCTGAGATCAATCACAAATCCACCTTGAAGCACAACCGTCCACAGAACCAAAGGCGGAGGGTTGGCAGCATCCTTCACCGCAAAGAAAATTGCCTCTTCAAGATCAGCAGTGTAGGTGAACATCCTGAACTCATCCGCCCATGATTCCTCCTGCAGCCACATTTTGTGAACACCTTGGATACGGGGCGTGGATCGACTCAGCTTGTCATGCTGAAGCTGCTTTGTACGAATCCTCTTCTTGTCAGATGCATCTTGTCTTTCCAAAAAGGCTTGGGCAGTTTCCTGCATGTCTTCCGGGATCTCACTTTGAAGCAAGACCCCATCCAAAAACCCTTGGATCCGGTTCTTGAACTGTTTCTGCTGCTGGAAAAGAATTTCTCGCTGAATGGATTCACAAGCATTGATGGAGTCTGAAGCGGCAAGAGATGCTTGCTCCTTGACTTCTGACACGGATCTTTTCGCTGCAGCTGATGTCACACGCCGCCGCTTGGCAATGAAGGCGGTCTCAGTCTCAGCACCTTCCTGAGTGTGCCGTAGGTTTAAAAAAAAACAAAAATACAGGCTAGGTTAACAAAATGGCTAGGTTAGCAAACATGTCCAATGTGTTGGCTCATTAAAAAAAACAAAACAGTCCGAGAAACCATTCGTCGTTTCCTCTTAACCCCCGTGTCCAATCGAGTCGTGGATCCATTGCGAGGCGCTCCATACAGCTTGTCCCAAATAGTTGATGCTGTGCTGTTGGCTTCAGGACCGATGCGGTCATAATCCCAAAACATTTTCAGCTCCAACCGTCTGTTCTCAGAAGAAAGGCGTCGCTCACACTGTCGAAGCTTGGCAAAAACTCTTTCCACCCCGGACGTAGAGCAGCCATCCCATGCGCCAAGCCGCATGATCAATTTGACAAGGTTGCCAGTGGGGTGCGTTTGCTTGGATCTGCGACTGACCTTTCTGATTGCCTCCTCCATGCATCGAAGGAGCTTACCGAAACAAGCTTGCTGTGGTGCATCGCAATTGGTCGGACATTCAGAAATTCATCAATGAAACCTTGCTGGTCTACATCTGTAAACACAGAGCACAATCTCTGGGCAGCCTCTTGGACATGAACCATTCCATCCTCGCCCACCTCAGCATCTCGAGTCCGATGGTTGAGGTTGAAGATGCTCATAGCGCTCAGCAAGCCAAACCCAGGAAATTCGGCTTCGACCGTCTGTGTGACCAAAGCCACCCAAGCACGCATCTCCTGCAGCGCAGCCCCACAGAACTGGAAATAGACTTCACCATTTGGTACCATGCTATGTATGCTATTATTGCATTTAACTTTTCTCTATCCCTATTGCATTGTATGGTGGCTGGCATTTAAAACCATGCAAAGCTCTGCTCCTTCAAGGCTTCTTGAAACAGCGCATCTGTCACTCGATCACCGCCAATGGACCGCGGGCCAGCTTTGCAAAGAAATGAGGTAGGCGTTTGCAATGTTGTGAGCATATACTCACAATATCCCGAGTTTCTGCACTGCCCATCCAAAAACAGAGCTGACACACGTCCAATGAACTGTTGGAGCTCGCTAACAACACCAGCTGTGTCGAAGTTGCCGCTGTCAAGATAGCGGATCAAAACACTCACTTCGTCGGCTGCATCCGCCATCATGGAAAGAAGAATGAGGCGACGTTCATTGATGTATTCAAGGAAATGTTCAGCACGTGCCCCATCTCGTTCGTTGCGCCGGTGAGTGGACGCAAAAATGGCAGTCGCAACCACGGCTTTGAAGCAAAGGATGCATCGCCCGGTGGGCCTCTGGACTGAATTGAAGCGGTGCTTCCTGAACTGGAGGTTGTGAACACGCCTCGAACTGAGTTTCTTGGCAAACTGTTCAAAAGTTGAACTGAGGACATCCGAGAACTGAATGGTGGAGATCAAAGAATCTTGCCTGGTGACCAGGACGGAGTGCACATCATTGATCTCGGGGATGGCTGCAAACGGGCGTTTCAGGAACCTCTGCACAGCGTGGGTAGGATCCTTGAGACTCATCTTCACCTGTGCGAACATGCTGGGATCTGCCCGCATCGATCTCAATGCACGCTGCTCGTCGGCGGCTGCGTCTGCCACCAACACTTCCTTGGATGGTCTCCAAAGAAAGTCATGAGCTGAGCTGATGGCAAAATTCCTTGTCACCCTAACAACAATGCCCAAGTTCCATTAACGATAAGTAGCAATAATAAAGAAAAATTAAACCCAAATCAAGAAATAAAAACCCAAGTTCCGTAAAATATAAACTTTGAATAACTTTGACTGAAAGCAAGAGTACAAGCAGCCACCTTGCTGCGCACCTCATTGAAAAAGGCTTGGTTTCCAGCACAAGCTGAGCGAAGAATGTCCCTTGTACACTTTTGCAAGCTGTCCATGTCAGAAGGAGGCAATTTCTGACAACCAAGAAAACCTCTACATAGCTCAAGGGTTTCGGAGCAAGCGCTGAATGTGACTACCAGGACCCCCTTCGAAACATCCTGGTGCAAAACTATTGACCCCGCTGTCTTGAGGAATTTCAAGTCAATAGCTTCGCAGGCCAGACCAACACAACGCTGCATCTGGGTCATCTTCTTTCTGCCACCAAGTCCAGGCATATGGAAATTCAAGGATGTTCGCTTCATTCCTAGCTGAGACCAGTGCGTTTTGCAGTACAAAACGCAATGAAGAAAAACAACATAGGCATCTCAACCCCCCAAAAAAGAGGTACCAAATCGGACGGGAGTCTTTCTGTCATGAAATGGGCAAATTGTTCCGGACTTGGGGCTTCAACGTCATTCCCACAGGCCAGGATCTTCATAGCCTTTGCATGACTTTTGCTCTTGCAATGCCTCATCACGTTGTTGAAATTATTCGTGGCACATTTGCCGTCAAAACCACAGGATGAAAAGTTTGAGGAGCTGCTGAGCCCAGCATTGATGCAAAGTTTGCAGCCTAGACCCCAAACCAACTCGTCAGAGGGTCCCTTCCACAGACGGTCGACAAGCCAGGGGAGCCGTTTTTTCCAATCTTGTTGGTTTCGGAGATACAAGCAGCGAAAGCAATCATGAGCTTTGCAAGCTCTCACATGTTCAACATGCGAGTCAATCAGTTCGGTCATGGCAAGCGCAGTCAAGAACTTCTGGATCAAAACAATGCGGCTTAGCAATGATCATATTGTTTGGCCTCACATTTCTGGATCAAAACATTCTGAATAATGCATGTTATTCGAAATTGTCAAAATAAGTCAAAATGTAAAGATGCTGTCATGTTGATTCATCCCAAATGGGCTGCGAACTGAAGAATCAACAAAAACCGAACTGAATGCCATACTTGAAGACATTTCTTGCCCTATCTGCCTCGCTGAGTTTCACACCCAATCAAGACCGTCATCCACCGAACGGCCATCACCTGAGCAGGACCACTGATGGGCACGCAGGATTGAAAGCAACGGTGCTTTTACCAACACGGCGCTTGTTCAGCACCCAACTCTTGTTCAACACGGCGCTTGTTCAGCACCCAACTCTTGTTCAACACGGCGCTTGTTCAGCACCCAACTCTTGTTCAACATGGCGCTTGTTCAGCACCAGTATCACATAAACGATAGCTAAGTTGGTTAATAACTCCAATGACTATGGTTTATCATACTTATAACAGTTATAAACAAACTTATAACTGGGGGGGCCCACATTGTAAGTCCCAGCTGTTGCCACTATAACTCCCCATTCAACGGCAAACCCTTTTCCATCTGGTCGGCCAGCCAGTTTGGCACTATGCCGTGGCCAGTCAGTTCGGCCCGATTCCGTGGCCAGTCAGTTTGGCCCTATTCCAGGCAGCATTCCTGCCATTCCGATTCCGGCCCGTATGGATCCAAATACTAATTTGGAGGTATAATTTATAATCTATAATTTTGTCAGGAAGTGTTTGGGGTATAATTTACTATAAATTTGGAGGATTAGTGTTTGGATCCCAGGCCTAGTCTGCCGCTGGCGCCCGGCCAAAGCCTAAAGCCTAAGGAGCAACAAGTGGAATGTGCTGGCGCATCCACATCTCCAATTCCACATTGCTGGCAAAGATCGCCCCGTAGACGGCCATAGCGCAATGCCGGTCGGCTTCGACAAAAACCTCAAGCCAAACCGCAAGCCAAAAACCTACATGACATTGAAAATACACACATCCTTTACCAGTATCATACCCTTAGCCTTAGCCAAGCAGCTTGGAGCTGTGCGTTGAATCCAAACCTCAGCATCCAGCGTCGACACCCTTGCGGGCGGCAGGAAAAATCTGCCAGCATCAGCTGATGATTGGCCCCAGCATCAAAAAACCAGTGCCCCTGACTCTCAAGGTAGAGATGCCGGGACCTCAGACTAACTGATGGTAAAAACCAAAAAGGAGAGTCACGGCAAAAAATGAGAGTCCTTTGCAAAACAGACGCCAAAGAACAACAAAGGACAAAAAAATGTAAAAAACTTACTTCATCAAGACTAAGATACCGTCGGGCCTGCCTAAAAAAGGAGATCTCGCCCGACGCAGTACCGGCATCGGCATCGACATCATCGGAGCACCACAACACCAGGTACTCTCGATGTCGCCGAAGTCCAAGAGGAGTCAAGTCCTGATATTTCAGAACCCACCCCCAACGTCGCTGGATGCGCATGGGCTCGGATGGTGGGAGGTTCAGCGATGCCATCATATTGATGGATTAGGGGCCGAGTTTGAGCTGGCAATAAAACTACATACATACCAAAATTCAACAACAACACAAAGAACATGACCATCATCATGACGACCGAACATCACGATCAGCACCCATCATCATCATCATCATCATCATCCTCATCCTCATCCTCATCATAGTTATCGGCGTCGGCGTCGGCGCTTTCCCAGCACCTTCCATATCAAGTAGTTTTTTCAAATGGCTGGGCGCTTCTTCAGCACCCTCAAGACAAAACATGGAAAAAAAACAAAGCCTCAGGCAACTACGCAACCTGTTTTTTTCCTCAATGGCGGCCACTTCAGATTCATCTTTGGCATTTGCCTGGCCTCTTCATTGGCCTCGCAGCTGCCGTCTTCTTGGCGGCAGGGGCTTTGCCGGTCAGCCTAACCCATGAAACACAGCCGCTTGTGTGCTGATATTGCCGTGGCGGCTTGTACTTCTCCACGTCCTGAAGCACCCACCCATGGACCTCCTTGTAGTTCAATCTTCTCAATGTCTCCTCAACATCCTGGACTTGGTGAACATGGGTCAACCGTCGCAGACTCAGTGGAGGACAGTCAATGTAGCGTTGACTGTCATCATCCCACTCCGCTATCTTGTAAGAGCCAGCGATGCGGCACTGCCCAAGCAACTGGCTCGTGCCAGCTGCAGCAAGCGCCACCAAGCCCCGTTTCCTAGGGGCACCCCGTAGCTCCAGCGTCTTGGCACCGTCCACAATCATTTGCGCCCAGCACGGACGCAATACAAGGGCGACCTCTGGAGCTGCCATTGCCAACGAAGATACACAAGTGGCCAGACAGGGCCAACAGAAAGATCCCTAAAGTCAGCGCTTTTTCAGCACCTTCACCATGAATCTGAACCAGTCTTCAATCTTAAAATTTCAAACCAAAAATTATATCTATATACGCATTTTTGAATATACATATATGACACAAATTGTGAACGCCGAATTGGGATAAACTGGAATGTTACGTGAAGAAGTTGATCAATTGACTTGAAAATTGGCTACTCACCCCTGTAGCTGAGCCACAATGGCTTCCAACTTGAAGTTGGATGAAGTTTGAACTTCAAACCAATCCTGTTAACACAGCACATCATAACCGCCGCTCGAGGACTCACTCTGGGCCGCACAACCAACTCCAATCATTCATGGCCACGTGGCTTCTATAACCTCAATGGGAAACATCAAGAGCATATTGTGTGAAAAACGATTTGTGTTGAGCGCTTCTGCAGCACACCAACATAAAAACGATTTGTGTTGAGCGCTTCTGCAGCACACCAACATAAAAACGATTTGTGCTGAGCGCTTCTGCAGCACACGACCAACATAAACAGGGCATTGAAAAAGCGCATCGCAATTTTCATCGGCGCTGCTATAGGTGTCATGGAGCTGCGCTGCCCGGGGTGACACAGCCAGCCTCCACCGTCGTGTTGTCATCTTGGATGATCGGCTCCTCTTGGATGATCGGCTCCTCTTCGATGATCGGCTCCTCGATGATCGGCTCCAGGTCCTCGCTCTCGGTCTCATCCACGACGGTCCCAGATTTGGGCGGTGGGCCCGCCGGCACTGCCCGGTGATAGATTCCGGGCGGAGTGCCGGGGGGTGCCGGAAGAGGCAGCCGCGTGCCCGGCGGTGCAGGCAAAGCCTCATACCACCCCCTTCTCAGCATTGGGGGAGGCGGCTTTGCACCATGGTTCCATGGCACCCCAGGGTCCATCTCCTCCTCGGAGCTCGACGAAGAAGCCGCCGATGGACTGTCACCCGAGCCTGGACGGGGCCCACAGCCATGACCCCGTCCAGGCTGGTAGCCATCCGCCTCCCGGCAGTGCTTGCGGCCTTTGCCCTTTGGCGGCCATTGCGCCGCTTTTGGCGGAGGAGCACCCTTGCCCTTGCCTTCCATCTCGGCACCAGGCAGTTTGCCCTTGCCATCCATCTCGGCACCAGGCAGTCAGGCCAGACAGATCACCGCCGCCGCTCCATTGGGCACCGACCAAGTTGAGGGCGACAGAGCAGCGACGGGTCAGTCCGGCTGGGAGGAGTCTCCTCACTCAAGAGCCAAAAGAACGGATGAAACTGCCCTTCAACCCATGATGACCAAGGGCGCTTGCACAGCACATTTAATTTACTCTGCCACAAACATTTCTATCAGCTCAGCATTGAAGGTAAGTAAGTAAGTATATATCCAAGGGCGCTTGCACAGCACATTTAATTTACTCTGCCACAAACATTTCTATCAGCTCAGCATTGAAGGTAAGTAAGTAAGTATATATTATAGCGATGACTGGACTCCATGGCAAAAATGCATATCAGCGATGATGACTGATGATGGCTGAGGTTACGACGACGTGGTGGCCGGCCAAGCAGATGGGGAGCCCAGAGAAGCCTGAAGACTGCAATTTCAATGGGTAAGGGAGGACCAACAGAGCATTTTTTTTGGCAATTTTCCAACGCCGTTGCTTCAAATAAACACCCTTCAAACTGGCCGCCTTTTGGGTTAAAAGGCGGCTGGCAGAGTCTCCATTAAACAGGGCCGTTTTTCCCCAGTTTTTCCAGCGTTTTCATGCATGGGGCCCAAAAAACACTGTATTTCTCAGGGTTTTTCATCATCTAGTCTTCTTGGGATCCCCCCCCTGGGAAACCATGATGTTATGTTGCCAGCAACAGTAGCTTCGAGAAACAAGTTGTGTTGTGAAGAGTTGGGACGCTTATTCAGCATCGTTTTTCTCAGGCTGATTGAATTTTGGGTAAGAGTAGCGTATTGCAAACATAATGATAAATCAAAAATTGGGACCCTGTCATTTTTTTCCAGGTGATATCATCTCTTGGATCAGTCTTGGATCAGTCTGGAACATCAAAACAACCACACAGTCATTCATTCTGGTGCTGAGCAAGCGCCGTTACAGATTTACTGCTAGGTGGGGTTAAAAGGCGGCTGGTAGAGTCTATATTAAATTAAACAGGGCCGTTTTTCCCCAGTTTTTCCAGCGTTTTCATGCATGGGGCTCAAAAAACACTGCATTTCTCAGGGTTTTTCATCATCTTCTTGGGGCCTCTCTAACATTCTCAAAACCCAGTGCGATCCAGTAACTAACAGTAACTAACAGTATCTTCGAGATAACAGTAACTTGTTGAGAAACATGTTGAGAAAAATGGTCGGGACGCTTATTCAGCATCGTTGTTTTTGCCTCAGGCTGGTTGAACTTTGGGTCACAAACAGAAGGATAAACCAAAAACTGGGACCCTATCATATTTTTTCCAGGTGACATCATCATAACAACCACACAGTCATTCGTTCTGGTGCTGAACAAGCGCCGCTTACAGATAGATCTACTGCTAGGTACATTGGATCCAAGCCAGTCCAATCTTCAGGTATGATCGTGATGACATAATTTCTTAAAAAAATAGAATTGGTAGTTCATTGAAAGATCCTGCCCCTGCCCCACAGTGACAGTGCCTGCCACCATGAACCTTTTCCAGCCACGTGGCCATAGTCTAAGGTTCCCGGCTCCTGTGCAGCATCATCAGCTTCTGGCGCTTTCTCAGCACCAGTTTCTGGGGCGCTTTTACAGCACCTGTAGGCCTGTAGGCGCTTTCACAGCACCTGTAGGCTTGTAGGCGCTTTCACAGCACCATCAATCTGTAGGCGCTTTCACAGCACCATCAGTCAGTAGGCGCTTTTACAGCACCTGTAGGCCTGTAGGCGCTTTCACAGCACCATCAGTCAGTAGGCGCTTTCACAGCACCATCAGTAGGCGCTTTCACAGCACCATGTTGTAGCGCTTTCACAGCACTTTTAAGGCGCTTTTACAGCACCTGAAAAAGAACGCCCCTAAAAAAAACACGGTGATTTGATGGTCCGCCCTGCCCCCCTCCCCTGCCCAGCGCAGCAGGTCTGAAGATCAAACCTCCAGATTAAATAGAATACCTTGATTACCTGGGTTGGCTGTAACTACCATGTTTTTTCATAGATTTGCTTTGTCCAAATTGTTTGTTGACAGCTATGGTTGACCAGTTTCAAAAAAATGAAGAACATGAGAAATTTGTAAATCCAAGTTTCAAAATTTATAGAAATGAACATCCTTTTTTTTTTGTTCAAACACATTTTTCCAGAAAACATACATGGGGTTTCTGATATTTTTTGAAATATAGTGCTCAGGTCCTGAGAGCGAGCTAGGTGGAAACATGATGTTCCGAAGTTTGGGAAGCTTCTGGTCATGAAACTAGGAAAATACCAGCAAAACATGCCCAAAAAAACAGAGGCAAAAAAGTAGTACCGCACAAGGCGGTGGCG